TAAAAAAAAAAAATATTCAAAAATTTGTTTTTACATACAACAACTACTTACAGTCCAGTCAAGCCCAGCTTTATACGCAAGACTTTCATTGGCTGATCTACGATAAAGCAGGCAATATGAATCGATTTGAGGAACTCTTTGTGCGAGCTAATCTGAGCATCAATGCGGATGTGACCTATGTGAAAGAAGAGCAATACTCCAAACACGAGAGCCTCTTTACACTTTACGATGTGTACAATCCAGGCAGCCAGTTGGGTGGTCAGCTCAATATAACGATAGATCAGAGCATCAAATGCAATCGAACCAAATGTGAGCTCAACCAATATTTGAGTGAATTATACAAACGAACCAGACTGCACCAGCGCATGGACTTGAGCGGAGTTACCTTCAGACAAGTTGCCTTGGTAAGCAGCATTTGGAGAGAGCAACTCAGGCAATGTTTTTAAGCCCACTGATTTGCTGTAGGTGACCGTTAAGCCATTGAGCGTGGGCGAGGAGAAGCTGCTCGAGTTTCTGAATAGCGAAGAGAACGTGCATATGGATTGGCCCTCACGTTTGGGCTATCGCCATAATTTGCACCTACAGGAGCTGCTGAGATTCAAGTAGGTTTCATTGTATGAGTGGGAAATTTAAGTAATTGATGTCCATCTCGCAATCGTCTACAGCTTAACTTACATTTGGCGTAATCTGTGGAGCGTAAATGATACCCAAGGCGGCGCCGTAGGTGTGATGATCGACGGGAATGTCGAACTGTCGACAACGGCATTTGTGCTCTCAAGTCAGCGAATGCGTCACATCTTTCCCACCATGGAAGTTAGCCAATTTCGCTCGATTTGCATTTTTCGCACTCCACACAATGCCGGCATCAAAGCTGGCGTCTTTCTGGAGCCCTTCAAGTTCAGTGTCTGGTTGGTTTTTGTCGTTACACTGATCCTTGCTGGCATATTGCTGTGGCTAACCTTTCGACTGGAGCATCGTTGGATGCAGCACTGTATGCAGTATATACCCTCGCTGTTGAGCAGTTTGTTGATTAGCTTTGGCGCCGCCTGCATTCAGAGCTCTCATCTGATACCCAGCTCGACGGGCGGCCGTCTGGCATTCATAGCACTCATGATGACCTCATTTCTCATGTACAACTATTACACATCGATTGTGGTGTCCACGTTATTGGGCTCGCCGGTTCGCTCCAATATTAAAACCATGCAGCAGCTGGCCGACAGCTCTTTGGATGTGGGCTTCGAAACAATTTCCTTCACTAAAACGTATTTAAATGTAAGTGAAACCCGCTTAAATTGGACTATTCCCAATAAAATTCATTGCAGAGCTCACCACGTGCCGATATCCGAGCTTTGGTTAAGCGCAAGGTGGATGGACATGATCCCAAAAAAATCTGGATGTCAGTCGATGAAGGTGTGCTGCGAGCCCGTGATCAGCCTGGATTCGTTTTCGTCTCGGAAGCCTCAAACCTATACACCTTCATCGAGAAGTACTATTTGCCGCATGAAATATGCGAACTGAATGAAATCATGTTCCGTCCGGAGAGTAATGTCTACATGATGGTGCACAAGAAATCCACTTACAAGGAGCTACTGAAGCAAATCCATGTGCGCATGCTAGAGACGGGCATTATTCAGAAACATAAGCTCTTCTATACCAAGGCCAAGCTGCACTGCTTCGCCAACAATTATGTCATCAATGTGGGCATGGAATATGCAGCGCCGCTCTTTATAGGTCTGCTGCTCTCCTACATTGCCTCAATGATTACCCTAATTCTGGAACTAGGCTGGGCTTACTTCGGCAGACGGCAATCGCAGCGTTTGCCCACTGCGGAATAATTAATAGAAACACATTAAACTTTAACTAGGTAAGTTCATCTAGCGCAATCTGTAAATAATTTATAGCTGCTCAATCAAGTGGTAAGACAGTTCGCATCGCTTATAGACAAGATTTCACGGAGCTGTCAACAACTGTCAGCTGCCTTTTGATAGAAATTTATCAAGTATGCATTATGGAAGCATATAAAAGGCGAATTATTATTAGCTGGCGGCATTATTAGCTAAGCAGTTTGGTTCTAGCGCAATGTTTCTATCTCAATTTATTTTATATTATTTTTTGCATATTGCAAAATTAAATAATATACTATTTTTGCATTGTTGGACAGCTGATTGTGAGTTGACTATTTATATGTTTTAAATAATTATTAATTTAATTATTTCCCGCAGCACTTTTTCACATTGCACAATTAGCCAGCCAGGAAATGCTGTACACTCAGTATATTAACCTTAACCACACAAACACCCTATCGGAGCACTTACAAGATAATCTCATGGAACACAATCTCGTCAAGCTGGGCATTTATCTGGATATTAATTGTCGAAGCAGTGCGTTAGTCTTGTCTATGGTGAGTATTCTCTTGAATAATTATTTTAAATAAAACAAGACCAACAGCATTACTAAATTCTCAGACTTTACCTAACTCTCAATCAAATATTTATGCTTGAAATAAAAGAGACAAAAGAAAAAGAAGGCTCTTTGACTTATTTCCCTTTTGTCTCAGATTCAGTATCTATTATTTCATATATTATATTAAACATATTTTATATTTTACATATTTTATCTTAGATTTGAAAACATCTTAATATAATTGCTTTACATATATTATACACTAATATATTATAAATATTTTATATTACACCTATATTATATTCTCGATTACTTCTCTCTATACAGGCCAACGAGAAACACCTTTTCAAGGGTCGCTATCACTGGCTTATCTACGATCAGGACTTCAACTTAACTGAAGTGCATAAACGATTTGCAGAGACGCAACTATATATTGATACGGAATTGACTTATGTAGAGCCCAATCCAAAACGCGATAGCTTTATACTCTATGATCTGTATAACAAGGGCAAACATCTGGGCGCTAAGTTAAACATGACCGTAGATCGACAAATCAAATGCAATGATCTGCGTTGTGAATTGAGTCGTTATTTGAGCGATCTTCATAAGAGGAATCGTCTGCAGCACCGCCGATATCTGACTGGATTAACCCTAAGGATTAATGCTGTTGTATGTTGTTGCTTTGAAGACCTTTCAGATCACACATATTCACATATTTTTGCAGGTAACTGCCATTCCTGCCAATTCGCCCGAATCGCAGATTAAGGACTTTCTCAGTCGACAAGATGATATCAATAATGATTCATTTGCCAGATTTGGTTTTCAGACGCATCAAGTGTTCAAGGATTTGCTTGATTGCAAGTAAGATTATAAGAAATTATTCATTTAAGCCAAAACCAGAAACGTTCTGTTTGTAGTTATACCTATATATTCCGTGATCGGTGGTCAGATTCAGAACTGACAGGAGGTCTCATAGGAGACATCCGTAACCAAAGCGTGGATATAGGTGCAACTGGATTTCTGTTCTCCAGTCGACGTGCTAAATACTTCAAAATGCTGTCCTGGTATTCGGCCTTTCGCTCCACGTGCATGTTCCTCAATCCCAAATCGTCGGCAGTCGAGCTACGCATTTCGGAGTTTCTGCAGCCCTTCAGTGCGACAGTTTGGTTTATATTTGGCTCTTTGCTGTTGATTGCTGGCCTTTTACTCTGGATGACATTTCGCCTGGAGCGTCGACTAAATCACATAGACATCATACCCTCTCTGCTCACCAGCTGCCTACTGTCGTTTGGCGCCGCTTGTATTCAGGGTGCCTGGCTGCTACCGCGCTCCACAGGCGGTCGCATGGTGTTCTATGCCGTAATGCTGTTATGCTTCCTCTTGTACAACTACTATACTTCGGTTGTGGTATCCACTCTGCTGGGAGATCCACCCAAATCGAACATACGAACGATTCAGCAACTGGCGGATAGCAACCTCGAGGTGTCCGTTCAGCCATTAATATATACCAAAGTCTATATAGAGGTAAGTTTTTGCAATTTACTATTAAATTTATTTATTTATTTATTTTAATTTCTTAAAGACGTCAAGTTATCCCGATGTGCGTAGTCTGCATTTGAATAAGATTTTAAACAGCAAACGCGATAACATCTGGTTGCCCCCGGATGAGGGTGTGCAAATGGTGCGCAACTTTCCCGGATTTGTCTATATTACCGAGGCATCCAGTTCTTATGCATTCGTGCGAAAGCACTTTCTGCCCCACGAGATTTGCGAACTCAATGAAATTCTTCTGCGGGACGAGACAAGTGCTCACACTGCGGTAGCCATAAACTCCAGCTATGCCGAACTGTTTAAACTAAAGTAGGTCATAGTACAAGAGCTATTGGGGGATAATAATGTTAATGTTGAAATATTTCTAGCCATCTTCGCCTGCTGGAGACTGGAGTTCACTTCAAGCACTTTCGATATTGGATTCGCAACAAGCTCCATTGCTACGACAGCAATAGAGGTGTGGTCGTGGGCATGGACTCTGCCGGGCCACTATTTCTACTGCTGATATGTGCCTATATCCTATGTCTGTTCGTTTTGGGTCTAGAAATACTATTCTACAGGCGACAGCAACGAGCTCGCCGTCAATAAGCACTGATGCTATGCAATATCCAGATTCCTGTATGAATAAAATAATCCTTAATTTGATAGCAAACAAAGTTATAACTTATAAATATACATATTTTATTAGGTAAGTTAATAGGTACAAAGTCATTTGCAAATAAATATTTAATTTCCAATAATATAGAAACATAGTTAGATTACCTTTTCGACTACTTTCGAACTGTCACTAACTGTAAACTTTTACAATTTTCATTATTATTCATCGTATAATTGATTGATATTATATATATATTTAATTGCTTGACTCTAGCGCAATGTTGCTATCTAAATTTATTTTTCATTACTTTTTGCATATTACAGAATTAAATTATTGCATTGTATGTAATATGCTGTACATTAATATATTAATTTTATAAAGCACTTTTTCCCTTTACACAGATTTGAAATGCTATGAAAAAACCCCATTAAAGCACTTACAAAATATTCTCGCGGATTACAATTTTGTCAAGCTGTAAATTCACAGGGATATGTATTGGTATTATAGTGGGAAAGTCGTTTCTATGGTAAGTATTCTTTTAATTGCATTAATATTAATTCTTATTTGAAATAAACGCGTATGTGTCAACATTTATTCTAAGCCTTTCCTCTAAGCATTTCTTATAAGAATGTTTGCTAAGCATTTCCCATAAGTATTTGCTCTAAGTACTTGCTCTAAATGTTTCTCTTTACTATTTCTTCCAAAAATTTCCCCTGTCTTTCTTTTAAGAATTTCTTCTAAGTATAACCACTAAGAAATTGTTCCAAGTGTTTCCTCAAAATATGTCTACTTCACTTCACTTTAATTCACTTTACTGCACTGCACTACTGACCCCTACCAGGCCTGGGCGACTGAAGAAATGCTGAAGCTGCTGCCCTTTATATAGGGCGACTTTCACTCAACCAATGAGAGCACTCTCTGCTGCTGAAAGCATTACAGCTTCGTTTTACTCAAGTATGAATACCAATGAATACTGCTGCATACATGTAGACAACTTGAGTGATCTTCTTCGTCCCTCGCTCTTGCAACAGACAGAGAGACAGACAGAGAGAAAGATAATGAAACAGAGAGAGAGGGAGAGGGAGAGGGAGAGAGAGAGAGAGAGAAAGAGAGGGAGAGGGAGAGAGAGAGAGAGAGAGCGAACGAGTGAGAGAGAGGGGGAGAGAGAGGGAGAGAGAGAGAGATAAAGAGAGAGAGAGGGAGAGAGA